CGAATCAATCACCCAGTGCGTGAGAGGGTGCATCACAACCTTTCCGACAGATCCCACATCACCCTCATGCCCATGCACATCCTCAACCATGAGATACATCCCAGGATAGGCGTTACCTTGCACCTCACCTTGTGCACCTGAGCCTTGCACAGCGCCACCTTGTGCGCGTTCACCACTGGGCGGCTTCATGCCTGGAGGTGCCCATCCCTCCGGCCTGCTGAAGCACTTGAACCAAGGATGCCCTATCTTCTTGCAGTACCAGCAGGTGCCCTCCATTCTGGTACTCCCCCTGCCACTGGAGCTTCCATGCCCCTCATTATAGTCACCTCGGCCTCTACCTCTGCCAAAGCTCCTCCCACGGCCTCGGCCTCTCCAACCCCTCTTCCTTTGCCGCGCCCTGCAGCTCCATACCCCTCAGCATCTTAGTGGCAGCACCGCCTCCCACATGGCGTCTGCGGAAGTCCTCCTGCAGAATCTGCTGCCTTAGCCACTCAGGTGTCCATTGATCTTGCTGAGAGTTGAGGGTGGGGATGAGGTTGTCCCAAGAGTTGTCCAACACCGAGATGATCTTGGGCACTGCTGCAGCTGAGATACACTGCGCCCGCTGCTGCCATCCTTGCATAGGTGTCCTTGATCTTGTCAAGGACCGGCTTCACATCATCCCCTGGTCGCATGGAGATGGCAGCAAGTTCCTTCTCGAGCACGATCACCATCGGGAGAGTGTTGGGCTGAACCACATCACGTAGTAGTTTCCACGCCCTTGGACCCGAATCATCCGCTTCCACAAGATCCTTGATGTGCTCGAACATCTCCTTGTTGACCGATTGAAGAATGAGGTCGAAAAGCACCGCGCTTTTCTCAATCCACCGTTCACGTGCTTCGCCTTCTTCCGGCATCTTCTCTTCCCCAACAGCAATCTTCAGGAGCTTGTAGCGTTTGAAGGCACTCCTCATCCGTCCGCTCCATTCCTCATAGTTGGAGCCATCCAAAGCTTCAACTTTTGATGGCGGCGGCTCACTTGTCTTCTCAGCTACAGCTCCTCTTCCATTAGCATTCCTCCTCTCTCATTCATCTTCTCCTTGAGAAATGACGAATTTCAGCTCCCCTTTGCTGTCCACACTCAGCTCCCTCGATATTTTCACAAGTGTCGGCGTCCACGAAATTTCGGCAGAGTTTCCCCTTAGCGGAAGACACATCCAACCTTTAGAACACCACTTAGGCACACCCACAGGCCATGGTGGGTCCAGAAGGGTCTTCACACTTCTGTAGACTCCTCTCAACGTCCTTAATACAGCTCTGATACCACTTGTTAGGATTAAGGACGGAGTCTAGGTGAACTTAGGAGCTAGAATTACTCAAAATATAAATCCGAAATTCTGGACAGAAAAGTCGTCTTCACAAGAAACGACGTCGACAGAAAACTAGCCGTTGGAATGTCGCGAAACTTGGATATGTTGTAGCTCTTAATCTCAGCTACCGTTCCCAATTTGAATCATGTTGATTGATGAAGTATTCGCGACGCTATGGCTTTCGACGCATTAGGGGGTAAGCTGTAGGAGGAGAACTTAACTCAATCTCAAAAGTTCAATCAAAGTTCAAGAATCTCACAAGGAATAAGAAGGAGCAAGAGAAAGGTTGGGATAGGAAGAGAGGGATGAGAGGGAAGGTCCCAAGAGAGTCCCCAACCAAGGAAACCCATAAGCACAAAGATTCCCTCCCTATAGGAACCTCAACTTTGACCTTTGTCCCTTCCCAACCAATCCATCCAAGTTGGCCACCCTTGCCAACCTAGCTTGGTTGTTCCCAACCTATTTGCAGCTGTTACAGTAGAGTGACAAGTTTCCCCAACCCCAAAGGTCCCAACTCCATATAAAGTCACCCCACAACTTCACTTTGTAACCGCCGCAATTGTAACGCAAGCTCATGAACTTTGAATCTTCATAGCTTTCGCGTTCTTGCTCCGATTGAAGCGATTCTCGTTGCGTCGGAAAGATCTTCTCAAGATCTATCCTCACAAATACCTGCTCAGACAGAATAACACAAAACACATTCCCAAACTCCAGAACACACCACACACAAATTCTTTCACACACAGTCAAACCATACATACGAATTGAAACAAGAGATGGGAGGCAGACAGAATGTGATAGCATATGATGACATCACACAACACCCTTGACGCGTCCGACTGGCACTTTTACCACCCGCCGTCTCACCGCTTCTTTCACTCTCGTGACGTCACCTTTGACGAGTCCGTCTCCTACTACCGCCGCTTTCCCCACCGTGGTCCCCCGGTTATCCCCCCCCTGTTCCTGGTCACCCCTTCCCCGGTAGTCCCTGCCCCCCCCCCTCCTCCTCCCCGTCCTGCCCCCTCTGGTGTGTCCCACGTTACCCCCCTTCCGTCGGTGGACCCGGTTGAGGAGTCTTCTGACTCTGGTGGCCCTCCTGTTCAGTCCTCGCCGGCCGCCCCTCCCCTGGCGTCCCCTCCCCAGTCCCCTCCTCCACCGCCTCTTCCGCCACCGCCGCCGCCGCCGCCGCCGTCACAGCACCCGTTCGCTGACTCTGGGGGTGCTCGTCCCGGTAGCCCTGGGGGTGGTCCCTCTGGGGGTGCTGGTGTGGAGAGTGCCGGTGGTAGCCGAGGAGCAGCTTGCGGTCCAGGTGTCGCCGTTGTGCCGCCGCAGCAGCAGTCCCCGCCGGTGTCAGCCCTTCGCCTGCTCGGCCTTCCGTCCCCCGACCCTGCGTCGGTTCCTCCCCGACCGTCTCTTCCTCTTCTTGTCTACGGCCCTGTTTTTCCTTCGCCGGACTCGTCCCCGGCTCGTCTCCCCCCTCGTTCCCCTCCTGTGTCCCCTCCCCTGTCTCCTGACCCGACTCCTCCGTCGCACGTCTGGTCTCACCGCCCCTCCCGTGCTCGTCCTGCCTCGCCTGTCTTGCGCTCCCACCCTATGTTGCTTCGTTCCCACGCGTCTCGTCCTCCCCTTCTCCCGTCGCCTCCTCCGTCCTCCCTTGTTGTTGCGCCCCCCCCGCTGTCCGACTACCTTCGTGCCGCTCGTCCTCTCGTTCCTCGGGTCCTTGCCTCTCTCGTTACCGACCCGTCTGTTCCGGTCTCGTGCCTTGACGCTCTTGTCGCTGCTGTCGCTGACTTTGCCTCTACCCGCTGCCTTGACTACGCCTCCGCTCTGGTCTCTGACCCTGCCTGTCCTCCGTCTGTCAGGGGTGCTCCTGCCCTTGGCAGTGACGTCCTGGAGGACCGTCAGTTCGAGCTTGCTTTCCTCTCCGAGGCTGCTCCCCATCTCTGTTCCATGCTGCTAGTCCCTGAGGGTGACCCAGACGCTTTCGACATCCCGACCCCTCGCACTTACACTGAGGCGACTTCGGGACCCTGGGCCTCGCAGTGGATAGCTGCCATGGAGCAGGAGATGGCATCTTGGAGATCCACCGGCACCTTCGTCGACGCAGTTCCCCCGCCTGGGGTGAACGTAGTCGATGGCCGCTGGCTCTTCAAGGTGAAGCGCCCTCCTGGAGAGCCGCCTGTGTTCAAGGCGCGCTATGTGGCTAGAGGCTTCAGTCAGCGCGAGGGGGTGGACTTCTTCCAGACTTTCGCTCCGACCCCGAAGATGACTACTCTTCAGGTTCTGTTACACCTAGCTGCTCAGCGTGACTACGAGCTTCACTCCCTCGACTTCTCCACTGCCTTCCTTCAGGGCAGCCTACATGAGCAGGTCTACCTGCGTCGCCCTCCGGGCTTTACTGGCACCTTCCCTCCTGGGACCTAGTGGCTCCTGCGGCGCCCCGTCTACGGCCTGCGCCAGGCTCCCCGTGAGTGGCACGACACTCTCCGTGCTACCCTTGCTGACCTGCAGTTCTTTCCGTCTTCCGCAGACCCTTCACTCTTCGTTCGTGCTGGCCAGACTCCGTTCTACATCCTTGTTTACGTCGACGACCTGGTCTTTGCCACGGCAGACAGGGACGCACTGGCCTCCGTGAAGGCAGAGCTGCTGAAGAGACACACCTGCACTGACCTTGGAGAACTGCGCTGTTACCTTGGCTTGCAGATCTCCAGGGACAGAGCTGCGCGCACCATCACCCTGACTCAGTCACACTTGGTGCGCCAGGTCCTTCAGAGGTTCAGCCTTCAGTTCTCCTCTGCACAGCCCACCCCTCTGCCTGTAGACCACAGACTCTCCGCTCCAGTACCTGAGGAGTTGGTAGAGCCCAGCGGCCCCTACGCAGAGCTGGTGGGTTGCCTCATGTACCTGATGACTTGCACTCGCCCAGATCTTGCATACCCTCTCAGCATCCTGGCGCGCTTTGTGGCCACAGGCAGACACCGACCGCAGCACTGGTCTGCCGCTAAGAGGGTTCTGCGTTATCTTGCTAGTACATCGGGCATGGGGTTAGTGCTTGGAGGACGCAGGCCAGTGGTCCTTACTGGACACACAGACGCTTCGTGGGCAGCCGACGCTGAGACACTCAGGTCTACCCAGGGCTACTGCTTCAGCCTTGGCTCAGGTGCCGTCTCGTGGAGAGCTACTCGCTCCTCGTCTGTTGCGCAGTCCAGCTGTGAGGCTGAGATCTACGCTGGTGCCATGGTGGCACAGGAGCTGCGCTGGCTGACCTTCTTGCTCACTGACTTAGGTGAGCGGCCGAGCTCTGCCCCGGTCCTGTTCGCTGACAACAGGGCCATGATCCTCCTGTGTCAAGAGCCTCGACTCGAGGGCAGAGCGAAGCACATTCAGTTGTGGTACTTCCTCCTGCGTGAGCTACAACAGCGACGTCAGGCTCGCGTAGTACACTTGGCCTCAGGTGCCAACACAGCTGATATCTTTACGAAGGCGCTTGCGCCTAAAGATCATCAGCGGCACTGTGTACAGCTTGGTCTAGTTCCTGTTGCTTCTCACTTGCTAGGACCTTGACTTGTACTGTCCTTTATATGTATACTCAGACTGGACTTGTGTCCTCTCCCAGTGGCTGGACTAGTAGTGCCGCCCTGCTCTTGTTCTTGCCTTGTCTGTACTCCTTCTGACTGGTCTCTCAGACCCTTGTCTCAGAGGTTGGACTAGTAGTGCCGCCCTGAGCTGCTTGTTTAGGGTATTCCCCTATGCAGTCTAGGGGGTGTGTCAAATATCTGTATTTGTTATGTTTGTATAGACTGTATAGGGTTACCGCTTAGAGGGTACAACACTTAGGTATATTTGTGTGTACTCTCATCTTTACCATTATTCAATTATTCTGATACTCTCACCACCAGCACCAGCACCATCCACCAGTGTGAGCACCGCTGGCATGCCGTACTTGGTTTTCAATGTCAGCAGCTGCTCCGGGTAGTGCCGGTACGATGGAGCCACGCGCCACGAGAACTTCAGCAGCAGCAGCGACAGAATCGCCTTTGCCTCCAGCACTGCAAAGTTCTGCCCAATGCACGTACGGGGGCCGACACTAAAGGGGATGAATGCGAGCGGGTGCGTTGCCGCCTTTTTAATCCCGTTCTCGAATCGTTCCGGTTTGAACTCGTTCGCATCTTCCCCCCACAGCTCCTTCCTCCTGTGCATCGCTCCGATAGGCACCGTCACGCCACACCCGGCGGGAATGCTAAGCGTTTCGCTTAGCTTGGCGCGGGTGGCGCAGAGGCGTGCAACGACAGGAGCGGGCGGATAGAGCCGGAGCGACTCATTGAGAATCATGGTGATGGTCTTTAGCTCTGCCGCCTTCTCCATCGTCAGCCTCGCCCCATCGGCTCCCAGCACCTGCCTTGCCTCCTCTCGCGCGCGCTGCTGCCACGTGGCGTGCTGTGATAGGAGCAGCACGGTCCAGGTGAGGAGGTTGGAGGTGGTTTCGTGGCCAGCTAGGTGGAAGGTGAGGCACTTGTCCATCAGCTGCTGGTCCGACATGGCAGGGGGGTGTGGGGCTGACTTCGCTACTCCTGCTCCTCCTCCACCTCCTGCTGCTGCGTCACTCTCTTCATCTCTGGCGTTCAGCATCAGCTCCAACAAGTCGGTAGCTCCCTCATCGTCCACAGCCCTCCCCTTTGCACCATTATCATCAGCATTCTCCGTAGAAAACGCATCGGCTCCAGCAGCAGCATCAGCAGTATCAGCAACAGCAGCAGCAGCGGTGGCGGCAGCGGTGGCTTGCTGCTCTCTGCGGTGCCGCCGGGCGGCGATCATGCGCCTCATGATGCTGCGGATCAGCCGCTCCTGCCTGTCTCGCTCCCGGTGCAGCGCCAGGGGGAGCAAGCTGAGGGGTGGGAGCGGAAAGGAAGAAGATAGGGGAGGGGGTTACATGGAGGACGAGTGGTGGGTGGCTTTAGGATCTGGCAAGGTGGGAGGAAAATGGGAGTGACAAGGCGAGCATGGCAGGAAGGAAGGACACCGTCCAGGAATCACACCGTTCAGGAGTCACACCGTCCAGGAATCACACTGTCCAGGAATCACACGGAGGACGATGGAATTTTACCAGGCATAAGGGACGAAGGTGATTTGGGACCAAAGGTGGCCCCTTTCCATCTTGTGCAATAGCGAGCGCACGTGGAAGGGGCCCAGGACCAAAGGACAGGCAGGCTTGAATCACATGAAAGGCAATGGACAGAATCAGTGTCTCTGCGTCATCTGCCCAAGAAGCATATGTGTGCCTAGTAAGGACCACCGGTCTGCGTCCTCCTAGCACTAGCCCCATGCCCGATGTACTCGCTATATAACGCAAAACCCTCTTAGCAGCCGACCAGTGCTGTGGTCGGTGTCTGTCGGTGGCCACAAAGCGAGCTAGGATGCTGAGAGGGTATGCGAGATCTGGACGAGTGCAAGTCCTCAGGTACATGAGGCAATCCACCAGCTCTGCGTAAGGACCACTGGGCTCTACAGACTCCTCTGGAACTGGAGTCGAGAGCCTGTGGTCTGGTGGCAGAGGTGTGGGCTATGCAGTGGAGAATTGGAGACCAAACCTCTGAAGGACCTGGCGCACCAAGTGTGACTGTATGATTATGATGGTGCGCGCTACTCTGTCTCTAGAGATCAGGAGGCCAAGGTAGCGGCGTAGCTCTCCTAGGTCAGTGCAAGTGTGTCTCCTCAGTAGCTCGGCCTTTATGGAGGCCAGCACGTCTCTGTCAGCAGTAGCGAAGACCAGGTCGTCTACATAGACAAGGGTGTAGAACAGAGTCTAGCTTGCACAAATGAAGAGCGAAGGGCCGGCAAAGGACGGAATGAACTGCAGGTCAGTGTCAAACACATTTGTGTGTGATGTTGTAGACCATATAGGGTTGTGCCTTTGAGAGTACAGCCCCCTAGGTTATAATGCCTTGTACTCTCACATTCTAGTCATTCTTTCAGTTTGATATGGTATCATGAGTAGGTTAGGTCCCCTTCGACCACCAGCGCTTCCGCCGTAGGTCCTAGCCGTCTCCTAGCGGCCGAGCGGCCCCGTCCCCTAGTGGCCCCTCAACCCCGTCGACCAGTGGCTCCGCGGCCCCGTCCCCTAGCGGCCCCTCGGCCCAGCCGAACAGCGGCCCCGTGGCCCCGTCCCCTAGCGGCCCCTCAGCCTCGTCGACCAGCGGCTTCAGGGCCTCGTCCCCTAGCGGCCCCGCGGCCCCGTCCCCTAGCGGCCCCTCGGCCCCGTCGACCAGCGGCCCCGTGGCCCCGTCCCCTAGAGGCCCCGCGGCCCCGTCCCCTAGCGGCCCCTCGGCCCCGTTGACCAGCGGTCCCGCAGCCCCGTCCCCTAGCGGCCCCGCGGCCCCATCCCCTAGCGGCCCCTCGGCCCCGTCGACCAGCGGCCTCGCGGTCCCGTCCCCTAGCGGCCCCGCGGCCCCGTCCCCTACCGGCCCCTCGGCCCCGTCGACCAGCGGCCACGCGGCCCCGTCCCCTAGCGGCCCCTTGGCCCCGTCGACCCGCGGCCCCGTCTCCGTAGCCGGCCCTGTCCCGCCGCCGGCCCGTTCCCCTAGCCGGCCCCGTCCCGTCGCCGACCCCGTCGCGTAGCCGACCACGCCGAGCCGACTCCGCCAGGTAGCTGGCCCCGTCACCTAGCCGACCCCGTCGCCACGTCGGCCCTGTTGCCCAGCCAGCCTCGCTTTCCAGTCTGCCCGCGCTGACCCCGCACCGCACTGCACCGTCCTGCATCGCCCTGCACCGTACTGCACCGCCTTGTATCACATTGCACCGCACTGCACCGCACTTCACTGTACTGCCCCGCCCTTCTGCCGCCGCACCGACCCTGATGGCGGACTTGGTGCTGCGCTTCGACGCGGAGAGCCAGCCGGTCGAGTTCGACCTCCGCCGTCACCTCACTGGTCAGCAACAGGACGGCCACTCCTTGGCCCTCCACCTCGACGGTACGATCCCCTGCCTTGACCCCCCTACTGCCCTGCCCGCTGACCCCTCGTCTGCTGACCATGAGTCCGCTGCTGCTGCCGCCCTTGCCCGCTCAGTCTGGCTGTCGCGTGACGCAGTCGCACAGCTCGCGATTAGTCATGCCCTCCCCCTGTCTGAGCGCCCACGGTTTCGTTCAGTCAGGACTGCGCAGGAGTTCCTTGAGGCTGGTGTCGCGCGCTAATCCACCCTACCCGCTGCCTCAGTCACTCATCTGATCCTGCCCATGCTCTTTCCCGATCTCACGTCTTTCCCCACGGTCGCTGACCTGCCACCCACCTGCGCACGCTAGACGTGACTTGGCGCGCTACCTGCACTGAGTCCCAGCTTCGTGTCTTTCAGCCACCCATCTGCTCTACCCTCTACCTGCTTGCCACCCACCTTCCTGACCGCCTTGCTATCGCCCGCGATCACTTCCTTGTCTCCACCCCGCTGACCTCACCCTCACTGGCTTTGTCGACATCTTGTCTGCCATAGAGACCTGCCAGCGCTCTATCGCCCAGTCTAGCGGTACTGTGCCGGTCACTATCTTTCAGGGTTGTGCCCCCGCTCAGTATACTTTCTCTGACGGTCCTGCTGCTGTCGCTGAGATAGCGCCTGCTGTGGCGACAGCCGCCGCAGCGCAATTCCGTCCGGGGAAGGGTCGCCGCCCCAAGGGTGGGCGCGGCGGCGGTAGTGAAGGAGGGGGTGGAGGAGGTGGTGGAGCCAGGCCGCCCGCTGGTAGTACGGACGAGGGGACTAGGGCTGGTGCCTCCGAGCAACAGGACCAGCAGCAGCAACCACAGTAGCAGTAGCAGCAGCAGCGGCGGGCTGGTGATCTCCCGCCCGGGTTGCCTGGCGCTGGTGGTGGCGGTGGACGTGGTGGTCGTGCGTGCAGTGTGCCATCTGGTGGTAGTTCGGGTGACGGGCGCTGTCAGTACAAGCTCCAGACCGGTCCTCGCCGCGGCTCCGTGTGCGGTAAGATCGGTCACACCCCCGCCCGCTGTTTTCGTTGCCTAGACGACATGTTTCCTCTTCGCTTCGGCCCTTCACCCGACCTCCCCGACTGGCACAGCTTGCTTTGCTATAGTGTTCAGATCTTTGGTATGGACATGGATGAGATTAGCTCTGCTTTGAATGTGCTGTATGTTGATAACCCCATGGATGAGATAGTCTTGGCTCCTCCCTCGCCACTCCGACCGCGGCCACCACTGCTGTGCTCTCCTTTACCCTGGACTCTGCGCTTCCCGGTGTTTCTTTCGCGACTCCACTACGTTGACGCCGCTTGCCGCTCCTTCCGCAGTTTCCCTTGCCAACCCCTCCTCAGGTCCGGTAGTCGGCCGTAGCTCCACCACCCTTCCTTGTCCGGCGGTTCCTTTGGGCTCTCTTACTGGCCTGCACATCCCCTCGTTCTCTAGGAACCTAGTTGGTGTCGGCTACCTCCAAGACCTTGGCGTCACCACTACGTTTCCTGGTCACGAGCGGTACACTGTCTGTACCGACGTCGCCACTGGTGCTCCCCTCATTAGTTCCCCGGGGACCCGGTGTCTAGCCTGTTCACGCTGGACACCGCGCCCCCCCTGGTTGGGACGTCTCCCTAGGTGGCTTCTTCTACCCAGGTTGCTGCGGCCTGCTCGTGTCGGTCGCTTACTCACCCGACACTTCTGTGGCACCACCATCTATGTCACCCCGCGCTCCCGCGTCTGCGTCACATGTCTCAGCACGGTCTTGTCCTAGGTCTCCCAGACTCGTTCATTAAATTGGCCTCCTCCCAAGAGCTGCCGTGCATGCCCTGCGTCGAGGGCCGGCTCCGAAGTGCCCCTCACTCCTCCTCGTTCGCCCCCACCGCCGCACCGCTACAGACCTTGCACATGGACGTCTGGGGCCCTGCCACCGTCCATGGGCCGCGTCGAGAGAGCTACTTCCTCGTGCTTCTCGCCAACTACATGCGCTACACTACGGATTTTTCTCCTGGAGCGGAAGGCCGATGTGCCTGACACTCTTATCCCGTGGCTGGTCTCTGCGCATGTGCACCACGGTCTCCCTGTCTTGCGACTTCACTCCAACCGTGGTGATCAGTTTGCCTCTAGCTGCCTTGGTTGCTTCTGTCTTGCGGAGGGCATCACCCAGACGTTCACCTTGCCGGACTCCCCGCAGCAGAATGGGGTCGCTGAGCGACGCCTCGGTTAGGTCATGGAGGTGGCTCGTACCTCCATGATCCATGCCAGTGCACCCCATTTTCTGTGACCGTTCGCCATTCGCTACGCCGCTCACCAGCTTAACCTGTGGCCGCACCCCCAGCAGTTGCTTCGCCGACCCTTCTTTGGATCGGGTCCGCTGGTGACGTGTCTGCGTTCCACGTCTGGGGCTGCCTTGCTCACGTTCGTGCCTCTGGTACGGACAAGCTCACTGCCTGCACCGTCCCCTATGTATTCCTAGGTTTCCCCTTCGACTCGTCTGACTGGCACTTCTACCACCCGCCGTCTCACCATTTCTCTCACTCTCGCAACGTCACCTTTGACGAGTCCGTCTCCTTCTACCACCCCTTTCCCCACCGTGGTCCCCTGGTTACTCCCCCCATGTTCCTGGTTCCCCCTCCCCCGGTCGCCCCTGCTCCTCCCCCTTCCCACCCTGCCCCGTCTGGTGTGTCTCACGTCAACCCTCTCCCATCGGTTGTCCTGGTCGAGGAGTCTGCTGACTCTAGTGGCTGTGTGGCGCAGTCCTCACCACCTGCCCCTCTCTCGGTGTCTCCTCCTCCATCGTCGCTGCAGCCGTCGTCGCAGCCGCCGCCGCCGCAGCCGTCGTCGCAGCCGGAGTCGCCGCAGCAGTCGTAGCAGCCGCAGCAGCAGCAGTTTGTCGAGCCTGGGGGTGCTGGCGTTGAGGAGGGTGCTCGTCCTGGGGTTCCTCTTGTGGCTTGTCGTGGCAGGCCTGGGGGTGGTACCGGTGCTGGAGAGGTTCCTAGTTCAGGGGGTGCTAGAATGAGTGTTCCGGAGTTGGCCGTGGAGCAGCTGGCGGTCCCGGTGTTGCCATCGTGTCGCCGCAGCAGCAGTCGCCGCCGGTGTTAGCCCTTCGCCTGCTCGGCCTTCCGTCCCCTGACCTCGCGTCTGTGCCTCCTCCACCGTCTGCTCCCCTTTCTGTCTACGGCCCCGTGTTCCCTCCTCCAGACTCGTCTCCGGCTCGTCTTCCCCCGCGTTCTCCTCCTGTGTCTCCTCCTCTATCTCCTGATCCGACACCTCCGTCTCACGTCTGGTCCCGCTGTCCCTCTCGTGCTCGTCCTGTCTCTCCTGTTCCGCGCTCTCACCCTATGTTGCTCCGTTCCCACGCGTCTCGTCCTCCCCTCCTGCCGTCGCCTCTTCCGTCCTCCCTTGTTGTTGCGCCCCCCCCTCTGTCTGACTACCTTCGTGCAGCTCGTCCTCTTGTTCCTCGGGTCCCTGCCTCTCTCGTTACTGACCCATCTGTTCCTGTTTCGTGTCTTGACGCTCCTGTTGCTGCGGTTGCTGACTTCGCCTCTACCCGCCGCCTTGACTACGCCACTGCTCTGGCAGGGCACTTGAATCACATGAAAGACACTTGATAGAATCAATGTCTCAGTGTCATCTGCCCAAGAAGCGTTTGTGTGCCCATTAAGGACGACCGGTTTGCGTCCTCCTAGCACTAGCCCCATGCTTGATGTACTCGCTAGATAACGCAAAACCCTCTTAGCAGCCGACCAGTGCTGTGGTCGTTGTCTGCCGGTGGCCACAAAGCGAGCTAGGATGCTGAGAGGGCATGCGAGACCTGGATAAGTGCAAGTCATCAGGTACATGAGGCAATCCACCAGCTCTGCATAAGGACCACTGGGCTCTACTGACTCCTCTGGAATTGGAGCCGAGAGCCTGTGGTCTGGTGGCAGAGGTGTGGGCTATGCAGAGGAGAATTGAAGACCGAACCCCTGAAGGACCTAGCGCACCAAGTATGACTGTGTGAGAGTGATGGTGCGTGCTACTCTGTCCCTAGAGATCTGCAGGCCAAGGAAGCGGCGTAGCTCTCCTAGGTCAGTGCAAGTGTCTCTCCTCAGCAGCTCGTCCTTTATGGAGGCCAGCACGTCTCTGTCAGCAGTAGCGAAGACCAGGTCGTCTACGTAGACAAGGATGTAGAACAGAGTCTGGCTTGCACAAACGAAGAGCGAAGGGTCTGCAAAGGACGAAAAGAACTGCAGGTCAGCTAGCGTAGCACGCAGCATGTCGTGCCACTTATGGGGCGCCTGTCGCAAGCCGTAAACTGGGCGTCGGAGAAGCCACTAGGTCCGATGTTTTTTTTTTTTTTTTTTTTTTTTTTTTTTTTTTTTGGCTTTAAGGAGATCCCAGGAGGAAACCAGGCCCCCTTTCCCATGCCAAGGAGGGAAGGTACCGGTGAAGTCCTACGGTCGGCACAGGTAGACCTGCTCGTGTAGGCTGCCCTGAATAAAAGCAGTGGAGAAGTCAATGGAGTGGAGCTCGTAGTCCCGCTGTGCTGCTACGTGTAGCAGCGACCGAAGAGTAGTCATCTTCGGGGTCAGGGCAAAGGTCTGAAAGAAGTCCACCCCCTCTTGCTGGCTGAAGCCTCTAGCCACGTAGCGCGCCTTGAAGACAGGCGGCTCTTCAGGGGAGCGCTTCAACTTGAAGAGCCATCGGCCGTCGATTTCGTTCACCCCAGGTGGGGGAACTGCGTCAATGTAGGTGCCGGGGGATCTCCAAGATGCCATCTCCTCCTCCATGGAAGCTATCCACTAAGAGGCTCAGGGTTCCGAGGTCGCCTCCGCGGAAGTGCGAGGGGTCGGGATGTCAAAGGCGTATGGGTCACTCTCAGGGACTAGCAGCATGGAGCAGCGATGGGGAGCAGCCTTGGACAGAAAAGCAAGCTCGTACTACCTGTCCTCCAAGACGTCACTGCCACAGGCAGGAGCACCCCCAATGGACGGAGGACAGATAGGGTCAGAGACCAGAGCGGTGGCGTAGTCAAGGCGGCGGGTAGAGGCGAAGTCAGCGACAGTAGCGACAAGAGAGGCAAAACTCGAGAGAGGAACAGACGGGTCGGTAACGAGGGAGGCAAGGACCCGAAGAACAAGAGGACGAGCAGCACGAAGGTAGTCCGACAGAGGGGGAGCCGTGACAGCGAGCGACGACGGAGGAGGCGAAGGCAAACGGGGAGGATGAGACGTGTGGGAACGAAGCAACATAGGGTGAGAACGCTGAACAGGAGAGAGAGGACGAGCACGAGAGGGACGGCGAGACCAGACGTGAGACGGAGGCGTCGAGTCAGGAGACAGAGGAGGAGTAACAGGAGGGGAAGGAGGTGGGAAACGAGCCAGGGACAAGTTGGGCGGAGGAAACACATGACAGTGGACAGGAAGGGGAGGAGGCGGCGGGGGAGGCGCAGGCAAGCGGTCAGGGGAGGGAAGGCCGAGGAGGCGAAGGGCGGACACTGGCGGCGACTGCTGCTGCTTTTGCTCGACGCCGACACCTGCACCGCGGCTACCTCCAGAACACTCCAATCCAGCACTCCCAGAACGAGCACCCTTAGAGCGAGAACCCTCTCTAGCACCGGTGCCACCCCCGAGCCCACCGGGACAAGCCACGATAGGAACCCAAGGACTAGCACCCTCCGCAACACCAGCACCCCAAGAGGCCACGAACGGCTGCTGCTGCTGCGACGGTGGCGGCGGCGGCTCCTGCGGTGGCGGCGGCGGCTACGGCGGCGGCGACTGCGACGGTGGAGGAGGAGATACCGGGGTAGAGAGAGGCGGCAATAACTTTGCCGCTGGGCCACCAGAGTCAGCTGACTCCTCGACCGGGACAACCGACGTGAGGAGAGTGATGTGAGACACACCAGACAGAGAAGACGGGGAGGAAGGTGAGCAGGGGCTACCGGGGGAGTGGGGACTAGAAATAGGGGAGGGGAAACTTGGAGACCTCGCTGGGGAAAGCGGTGGTAAAAGGAGACAGACTTGTCGAATGTGGCATCACGGGAGTGAAAGAAGGGGTGAGACGGCGGGTGGAAAAAGTGCCAGTCAGAGGAGTTCAGGGGGAAACCGAGGAAGACACACGGGATTGTGTAGGCAGTGAGCTTGTCCGTGCTAGAGGCACGAATGTGAGTGGGGCAGCCCTAGACGTGGAATGCGGACGCGTAACCAAGGAACCCGGTCCAAAGAAGGGTCGGCGAAACCGCTGAGAGTGCGGCCAGAGGTTAAGCTGGTGAGCAGCGTAGCGAGCGGCGAACAGCCACTAAAAATGGGGTGCACCAGCATGAATCATGGAGGTACGAGCCACCTCCATGACCAAGCCGATGCGTTGCTGAGCGACCCCATTCTGCTGCGGGGAGTCTGGTAGGGATTACGACTGGATGATGCCCTCCGCACGACAGAACTATCCAAGCCGACCAGAGGCGAGCTCGCCGCCACGGTCCCGAGTGGAGACACCGCATAGGCAGATTGCGGTGGAGCCGCACAGCTACGACCCATGGGATTAGAACGTTGGGCACGTCAGCCTTCCACTCCAAGGGAGACACGGTTGTGTAGCGCAGGTAGTCGTCAACGAGCACTAGAAAGTAGCGCTCACGACAAAGTCCAGGGACAGGGGAAGGGCCCCTGACGTCCAGGTGCAGGTTCTGGAGGGGTGCGGTGGTAGGACAAAGCGAGTAGGAGTGAGGAGCACGGCGGAGCCGGCCCTCGACGCAAGGCGTGCACGGCGGTGCAGGCGAGGGAGGGAGGGCAGGAAGCGACGCAGGGAGACCTAGGACGAGACCGTGCTGGGACATGTGACCTAGGCGGTAGTGCCACAGAAGCGACGGGTGAGTGAGCGACCGACATGAGCATGCAGCGGCGACCTGGGTACACGCAGTACCCGGGGAGGAAGCACCCACTGGGGGGGAAGAAGTGTCCAGCATAAAGAGGCTAAACACTGGGTCCCGGGGGAACGTCGCAAGGGGGGAACCTGAGGCGGCCTCGGTACAGACGGCGCACCGCTCGTGACCCGAGAACGTAGTGGTGACGCCGAGATCCTGAAGACAGCCGACAACGACTAAGTTCCGGGAGAACGAGGGGATGTACAGGCTTGTAAGGGAACCCTAGGGGACTGCTGGACAGGGAAGGGTAGTGTAGCTGCGAGCAACTACAGGACCAGAGGAGGGGTCAGCAAGTGCGACAGTGGCAGGCGTGGGCGTGGTCGCGGAAGAAGCAGGCAGACGCACCGGAGTCAAGTGTGAAGGACAGCGAAGCAGTAGCGGCAGACGAAGGAGGAGCGGGTGTGGAGCCTAGCCTAGACAAAGCAAACGGTCCTACGCCTGACGCATCAGGGGTCTCTGTACTACACACAGGTGCTACGCCTGAGCTAGAGAACACAGGGTAATACGATCCGGACACACTAGAAGCGTCAGCATACAGAGAATGCAAGGCAGAATTAATATGATCCATGTATAAGTAAAAAACATGCACACCGTGGCGGAGCAGACTGGGCCAGTTAGGGAGGTCAGGGGCAGGGCTGAAGCGGCGACGAAAGAGGTCGTCGAGGCGGTGGATGCTGCGGGCAGTCGGGTGCGGACGTCGGCAGACAGTGCCACAAAGGGGCCCGGTTTGGAGCGAGTACTGCCAGCCCACAGCACTGAAGCCGCCGGTAGACGCCAAGCTGCAAGGACCGCCACCTCGGCTGTGAGAGTACGACACCGTTACACTGAATTCCCCTTTCCATATTTCCTTTCTATTTCATTCCTCTTTTTATCCTGATTCATTTGGTCTTTATCTCATCTCATTTGGTTTCCTATTCCTCCTTTTCCATCATCATTTGGTTTATCCTGTTATTATGATTACATCACCGACCAGGCTCGGGATGTACTGGCGCGCTATATCTTGCGTAATCCTGCCGTAATCCCTCAAAGCCAATAGCCTCGCGTGGCTATACGCATGGTGATTCTATTTCTAGAGGGGTCTATTCCCTTTGGATAGGATAAACCTGGTTACCTGATGTAATCTGGGAGTATAAAAGCACCTTATACTGATTCATAGTGCAACATTGAGCAAACCTCATTCGATCTTGTGACATCGGCCACCCCCTCCAGGGGCTCCCAGCCACCCCGGCGGGAGGCGGGCCCACAGCTGCTGCTGCTGCTGCGGCGGCTATTGCTGTTGCTGCTGCGGCTGCTGCTGCGGCTGCTGCTGCTGCTGCTGCTGCTGCTGCTGCTGCTGCTGCTGCTGCTGCTGCTGCTGCTGCTGCTGCTGCTGCTGCTGCTGCTGTGGCTGCTGCTGCTACTGCTGCTGCTGCTGCTGCTGCTGCTGCTGCTGCTTCTGCGACTGCTGCGGCTGCTGCTGATCCTGGACGCTTGCCCCAGCCCCCTCGTCAGAACCACTGTTGCCGCCACCACCACCACGCCCTCCCTTGGGGCCACGATGGCCCCGACGCTGTCGCTGCTGCTGCGGAAAGGCCGCCGCTGCAGTCTTAGCAGTAGGAGCAACAGTAGCGACCGCAGTAGAAACGTCAGTGTACGTGCACTAGGAGGGAGCACAACCCTGAAAGATAGGGACTTCCGCAACACCGCTCGACTGAGCGATAGTGCGCTGGCGAGTCTCTATCTCAGAAAGGGCAGTGACAAAAGCGGCCAGGGTGAGGTCACCACGGTGCTAGCTAAGGAAGAGGTCGCGGGCAGTGGCTAAGCGGTCACACACGTGCATGCCAATAAGGTACAGGGTAGCGCAGAATGGCGAGTGGAAGGCAGTGAGTGCTAGCAACGCGATAGCTAGTTTCTAATGCACCGAGGTGACTGGCGAGATCAGCGAGAGTGGGGAAAGCAGAGAGATCGGAGAAGAGCATGGGGAGGATCAAGCGTCCAGCTGAGGCGGAGGCACGCGTGGAGTAGCGTGAAACTACTGCACCTAAGAAGTCTTTGGCGTTCGCGACAGCAGTGAAACGTGGGCGCTCAGAAAGGGGAAGCGCATAGCAAATGGCAAGTTGCGCTACAACATCGCGAGAATCTCAGACAATGCGAACTAGCGCCGCAGCAGGAAAGGCCTCGCTCTCAGCAGTGGTGGGGTCAGCAGGGAGGGGATCAGGCACGGAGGGGTGGGGAAGCAAGCCATCAATATGCATAGACAGGGAGTGCCCATCCTGGCATTGACCTGTCAGGTGCCGGCGAAGATCGACAAGCCACGGGGCGAAGTCGATCGCGTGCCCCTCTGCGTCCAGACGTAGCATGGCATCCGCCATCGCAAAACTGCAGCAGTACCGGGACACAGTAGCACAACGGCACAGGGACACAGCGGCGCAGCGTCACAGGGACACAGGTACTCAGCTGCACGGCGATACAGCGACGTGGTGGCAAGACTCGCCGGAACAGGGACCGGGCGCGCGAGGAGCCGAAGGGCACGCAAGGGGGCCGAGGCGCACGAGGGGCCGGGCATGCGGTAGCGGCCGGCTAGGCGGTGGGGGGGGGGGGGCTAGGCAGTAGAGGGACCGGCAGCGGAGCTAGAGGGGGCCGGCTAAGCTGGAAGGGCCAGCTAGGAACAAGGGGGGCGGCTGGGCGCTAGGGGCCGGCTAGGGCACGAGGGGGCGACTAGGGCGCTAGGGGCCGGCTAGGGCGCGAGGGGCCGGCCGGGTGCGCGGAGCCGGCTGGGCGTGAGGAGCCGGCTGGGCGTGAGGGGCCGACTAGGGTGCGAAGGGCCGGCTATGGCGCGAGGGGCCGGCTGGGCGCGCGGGGCCGGCTGGGCGCGAGGGGCTGGCGACAGCGCGAGGAGCCGGCTACGGCGTGAGGGGCCGGCTACGGCGCGAGGGGCCGGCGACGGCGTGAGGTGCCGTCTAGGGCGTGAGGGGCCGGCTAGGGTGCGAGGGGTTGACTAGGGCACGAGGGGCCGGCAACGGCACGCGGGGCCGGCTAGGGCGCGAGGGGCCGGTTGGGGCGCGAGGGGCTGGCTACGGCGCGAGGGGCCGGCTAGGTGCGAGGGGCCATCGACGGCGCGAGGGGCTGGCGATGGCGTGAGGAGCCGGCTATGGCGCAAGGGACCAGCTAGGTGCGAACGGGCCGGCTAGGCATGAAGGAGCCAGCTAGGCGCGAGGGGCCAGCTACGGCATGAGAGGGGCCGGGTGGGCGCGATAGGGGCTGAAGAGGCGCGGTAGGCTAGGGCGCGGGGCGGAAGCGGGTGGGTGGACCTAACCTACTCATGACACCATGTTAGAATACTAGAATGAATAGAAATAAGAGAGAACAAGCAAGATTTCAGGTTGGATTGTACTCTCTAAGAACATACACGTATTCTAGCCTTTAACTTCTACATGAAAAATGTATGTAAAAGTTGACAACCCTGTCCACTACACAGTAACTTGATGTTATTTTCTAGCTTTCATAGCGTGTGTGAGAGACATTATCGGTCCTTAACTAAAATCACGCTGGAAGTCCGAGGCAAGCTGGAGCACATGTGAGGGCGTGGTACATGAGTTGAACTTTGCGTCGAGACCGCAACCCGGTTTGCACCACTGGCGAAATAACCCAAATTCAGTCCAACCCATCTTTCACACGCCGTGCGAGGTTCAACGCCCTCGATTACCAGACAAGATTGCGCAACCCATGTACCAAGCGTAACGTTCCTTTACCAAAATGACGCACGTTCTGTAGTCAGAGGCGCGCTGGAGCAGGTGTGAGAGGCGTGACTGACCCTAAGCCAAAATCACGCATGCAGTCCGACGCGAGCTGATGCAGGTGTGAGGGGACTGACTGGCCCTCGACAAAATCAAGCATGCAGTCCGATGCGAGCTCGAGCCAGTGTGAGGGGACTGATTGGCCCTTCGACAAAATCAAAGATGCAGTCCGACACGAGCTGGAGCAGGTGTGAGGTGTTAAAAGACTAGCTAGGAGGAAAGGCGGCCATGAAATGGCATGAGGGTTTAGAAGCTCGAGAACTAGGAGAGAAAGCTGACGAGAGAAAAGAGATGGAACTATAAAGAGAGAGGGATACAAGGAGGGGATTGTACCCTCTACAGTAGAGTTCGATAACCTACCAAGCCTACCAATTATATAACACAATATGTAATTTTAACACAATATGTAATTTTAACACAACCCCTAGGCTTGGTAGTGGCAAGCCCACACACACCCACACCCCCTAATCTAGCACCCCCATTCTCAAGCAGCAGCCACGAATACTCCAGTGGGGCCAATCCCAAGGCCCGTGAGATGGCTACTGCGGCAGCCGCAGCAGTGACGACAGCGGCGGCGACGGTGGCGTGCGGCGGCAACGGCCAGCGGCGACAGCAGCGGCGACGGCAGCGGCTTCGACAACAGCGGCGACGACAGCGGCCCCCGCCCTCTCGGCGGCGTGTCCAATCTCAACGACGGTGGGGACCCCCGCAAGTCAGGCGACAGCTGTGGCGAGGAGGAGATGGCAAGGTAGAGGAGAGGAAAATGGGGGGAGGACGAGTCTTCAGCAACGCGCCATGGATGGCGCCCGGCGCTTACTGGCGGGACGGCGGAACGGCGGAACGGACGCAAGGCGGCACAGCGAAGCCGCCACGGCACCTCGACATGGCTGCCACGGCTAGACGTCGACGGCGCCGCCACGGCTGGACGTCGACGCCATGACGGCGCGACGCCACAGCGACACGTCGAGACGGCCGCGCTACAACAGCGCGACGCCACAGCAGCGCGTCGAGACGGCCACGGCACGACGTGGCCAGCGGCACGACGATGCCGCTACACACGACGCGGCCGCCATGGCAGCGTGCGAGGGACAAAAGGAGTGCGCGGCAGAAGCGTGAGGAGCAGGCCCAAGGAGGGCAACCCGCCCGCTCTGATTCCATGTTAAAAGACTAGCTAGGAGGAAAGGCCGCCATGAAATGGCATGAGGGTTTAGAAGCTCGAGAACTAGGAGAGAAAGTTGACGAGAGAAAAGAGATCGAACTAGAAAGAGAGAGGGATACAAGGAGGGGATTGTACCCTCTACTGTAGAGTTCCATAATCTACCAAGCCTACCAATTATATAACACAATATATAATTTTAATATGAGGGGCCTGATTGGCCCTTCGCCAAAATCACAAATGCAGTGCAACGCCAGCTGGACACAGAAACTTGTCAAATATGCGGGCTGCTCTTTTGTTTCAGTGTGATTTCGGCGATACCTTGTCCGGTCAGGGGAGAACTAGAAGTACTCTTACTGCAGCAGGGTAAAAGCAATCTTACACTTTTTGACTAAGGTTCACGGAAAAAATGCCCTTACAAAATCAGGGTGATCCTGAAAAAGCGGCTGCTGACAAGGGCAATCAGGGTGAAACACCCTTCAAATTTGAGGCTTGGTCCTCTCATCTCAACCGTCCCCTCCATTGCCACACCACCATCCTCTATTCTCCTTGCCTGGCGCCTACCCTCCAGCCAAGCAACTGCTTTGGACCTAAACAATTCCCCCTCCCGTGCATCAAGGGCATATAGGCTAAGCCCAGTCAAGTGCCACAGCCCGCCCCTCATCTCTCACCCACGTCTCTGTCAACCTCCGAAGCGTGTTGCATCGCCATTGGCCTACATTACAGTAGTGGCACCATTTGGCATGGCATCCCTCCACCGCCGCCGCCATGGTCTATTCCCTTCCTTGCGTGACGCCTAGCCTCCTACACAGCAGCTCGTGGCTGATGCATTTCCCCTTGGGCAGATCAAGAGCATACAGCCCAGTCAACGCAGTCAAGTGCCACAGCCCCTCTTCCTTCACCCCCGTATCCGTCAACCCCAGAATGCCAAGGCTGGTCAGCTTCCCCACGTGCGCCATCCCAGCGGACGTGACGCGCCAGCAGTCACTGAGCTGCAGCTGGTGGAGCGAGCACAGACCAGTGAGGTGCTGCAGGCCCGCATCCGTCACATTGGTCTCGGTGAGAAAGAGGCGCTCGAGGTTCATCAACGCCCCGATACCTTCCAAGGCCTCGTCTGACACAAAGGCCTCTCGCAGTGCCAGATCCCGTAGCCACGGCAGGCGGTAGAGGTGCCTCAAGCCCTGGGCAGTGTAGCCGGAGGTGTCGTCCAGAAAGAGCTCTACCAGGTGGGTCATTGTGGACACATCGCCCAGAATGCCGTCTGAGAGGCACGAGAATCTGCTCAAACTCAGATACTGTTCCTTGGCCAGTGACGCTGTTTGGATGGCCTGAGCGGACGGGGGTATGCCGAATGGCCTACATGACATGATTAGGGCACAATGGGATGGGGCGAATTGCACGCAGACAAGTTGTGAGTGGTTGTGAGTGGTTTCATTCGGAAAGTGGAAAGACAGTAGGGGATACACACACTCACACACTCTCACCTGCCATATCTTGTTGCAATCCCCCGTGCTCTCTCGCGGCTCCTTATCAACGTCTAGCCTCCACCTGGCTTCACTGACTTCCCTTTGCCTCTCGGTCTGCCTCTCAACCACCACTATTCCCAACTCCTTTTCCACCGCTGCCAACTCCTCTTTCACCGCTCTCAACTCCCCCTTCACCGCTGCCAACTCCCCTTTCG